GGGTTGGGAAAGAGTTTAAATAGAGCCCGCCAATGCATTAAGTGCCACCACACTGAAGTCTCAACAATTATAGAAACATAGAATGAGTCCTTCTTCATATTCTCCGCCACCATCTTCACCACCAAATCATGATTATCCATATTATTCTCCTCCTCCTCCTCTTCCTCCATCACCACCACACTGCAACATGACCAACACAACAAAACCACCACCACCACCACCACCACCTCCACCTCCACCTCCAGTTAATTGTAACATGACGCCACCTTCACAACCACCTCTTCCTCCTGTTCGCTATAACTGCTCATGCCCTCCAAATACAACTTATTATTATCCTCCTCCTCCACCTCCACCTCCACGAACTTATAATTATTATCCTCCTTTTCCTCCTCCACCTCCACCTATTGTGGAGCACAACTACAAAGCTGTTATAGCGGTTTCCGCTTCTCTTGGGGGTATCTTGGTCGCTTTTATCCTCCTTGCTCTTTTATTCCTTGCTAAGCTCAAAAAGAAGAACCCCGTTGAACCTCCACCTCCACCTTCACCACCAACTCCACCTATATATGCTCCTGTTCATGATCAACCACAAACCCTAACCACTACAACTACCTATGAAATCATTCAGATTCAAGAGCCTGGAGGAGATGATGATTGTGAACCTGCCCCTATCTCTCATCATCATTCCTAAGTCACACACTTATACATGTATATAAGATTTAATTAGAATATATATATGGTCTGCATCAAGCATCATCATTTGTTTTTCAAATAAAATATACTAGGGAAACCTTGGTTGTATATATATTTGACACTGCATGCATGAATGCTGTTTGGAATTTGGATTGTCTTTTTCTTAATTCTTTTTTCAAATTGATGGTTTATGATTATGTAAATGTGATGATTGTATGGATCGATGGAGCAAATCAGTCACCAGACGGGAGAGTCACGGAGACTGCACATACATTAACTAATTCAGTCAGCATCATACAACATCATTGTATTGGAACAAAGTTTGTCTTTACAATTTTTCTTCTTTGGAATTGAAATTTCTTACACCAAGTTGTCCAATAAATTATATATGAGTTTATATGAATAAAAAATTATAAATATGTTTATATGAATGTATCAAGAGATATATGAGTATCAATAATGAGAGGGTCGGAGAAGTAAATTTGTACCGTATATACCTATACAATGATGACTAAGGTTTAAAAATTATTTGCTCTTAAAAAAGTATTCAAAATTATTTAATTATCACATGACTACTTTTTTCATTTTCCGCAGCAACACATGGCCACTTAAAAAGTCACGTGACTTTATGATTCAATTGTAATATGTAGTAATATTTTTTAACTAAATTATTAAGTTACCTATAAATATTCTAATACTATTACTAATATCATTTCATCAATTATATTATTAATATTATATATATAAATTATTTGGTAACAATAAATTCATAAGTAATTTTTGTTTAGGTTAATTAATTGAAGGTTGAAGAACCAAAATCGTGTAATTATCACACTTAATGAAGCAAAATTACATTTAAGCCTGTAAAATAAAAAAAAAATTAAATATTTTTTAATATTTTTATGGCTAATTTTAAATTCTCTTATAACATTTACTTATTCATCATCCTATCAACTTAATACAAAAACTACTATTGAATCTTTTCTTAAAAATATTAAATGCTTTTATTTTTTTCGGTATAAGGAACCAAGAGGATTAATAAGAAGGTATTATCTGAAGACAACATTTTTAAATCAATTGAAAAATATTGTAAAAAAATTCTAATATTACTTTTGTTTATTTTTAATTCATATTTTTAGGATATAATTTTTTTTATCGTTAATTCATAATAATTTATATGATAACTAATAGGTCAATTTAGATCTGAATGATAATTGGTCTTAATTATGGACTGCCACCTGGCCCAAGAATCATGGACTTTGTTAAAAGCGAACCTGAATTATCTTCGGACCTAGGATTTGGGCAGGAAATTTCAATTTATAAAAAGGTCTTTTTTTATTGAATAGTTTTTTGGTCAATCATTTCTGTCGCTTTGTAAATGAGAAATTCATGTTATACCGGATATAGATAAGACTAAAGCACCATAAAGAGGAAATAGGAGAATCCTCAACATAGATATTCTAAAGAGTGCGCAGTTTATAAGAGTTTAAATCACTCTACACATACCAAGATTATTGGATCTTAATGGGCTTGGTTGTGGGCCTAAATCCATTAAGGTTAGTATAAATAAGTGTAATCAGCGACTGATAAAGGTACATTTTCATAATTTGATTAGCATTGATATCTCTAAGACCGAGGACTGACTTAAGCATTAGAGTGTCTTTTACAGATATCCCCCTATTTCCCTAGGATACATCATGGAAGACGAAGACCCAGTAGGAGTAGCAAAATTACCGGAGTACCCTCGTGCAGGTACATTTTGGCGCCCACCGTGAGGCCTGATTTTGAAGGCCTGCATTGTTTATCTCTTTTGCAGGATGAAGAGTTTGTAGAAGATGGTTACAACCACTTGGTCCAACCCGAATACGACTCGGGGCCGATTACTATGGAGGATAAAACTGATCTCTTAGATGCTGTGAATATGCTTCGCGAAGAAATAACAGTTGTTAAGAGAGTTCGGGAAAAAGACGCTCAGGAGCTTGAAGCACTCAGATCGAGCTTGAAAAATAACTCAAGACCTCGGCCGAAGACACACTTGGTCGAGCTTGAATAACAAATCAAGACCTCGACCAAGGACACACTCGATCGAGCGCGTAAAACAACTTAAGACCTCGGCCGAGGACACACTCAGTCAAGCACGTAAAACAAATCAAGACCTCAGCCAAGGACACACTCGGTCGAGCGTGAAAAACAATTCAAGTCCTTGGCCGAGGAGACACTCGGTCGAGCGTGAAAAACAATTCAAGTCCTCGGTCGAGGACATACTCGATCGAGCGCGTAAAACAAATCAAGACCTCGGCCAAGGACACACTCGGTCGAGCGCATAAAACAATTCAAGTCCTCGGCCGAGGACACACTCGGTCGAGCGCGAAAACAACTCAAGACCTCGGCTGAGGACACACTCGGTCGAGCGCTAAAACAAATCAAGACCTCGGCCGAAGACACACTTGGTGGAGCATGAAAAACAATTCAAGTCCTCGGCCGAGGACACACTCAGTTGAGCGCTCATAGTGACCCTCATGTGTTCTAAAAGCTGTCTTTTGAACATCTTCCTCTTTCATTCGAATTTGGTGATAGCCAGATTTCAAGTCCAATTTGGAAAATATGGTGGCCCAGCCCGTTCATCCAAGAGCTCATCAATGACTGGAATTGGAAACTTATCTGGTATGGTTACCTTATTCAAAGCCCTATAATCCACACAAAACCTCCAGCTCCCATCCTTCTTTTTAACTAAAATAATAGGACTAGCATAAGGACTAACACTAGGCCTAATTATTCCAGCTCTCAACATGTCTTGCACCAATTTCTCAATCTCATTCTTTTGATAATAAGTATACCTGTAAGGCCTCAGATTCGGAATCTCTGCCCCCTCCTTTAAGTTGATAGCATGGTCTTGCCTTCTTGAAGGAGGTAGCCCTTGGGGTTCTTGAAAAACAAACTCAAACTCTTCCAGAATTTGTCTTATGCAATCTGGAATTGTTCTCATCCTCTCCTCTGGTTCCATTGCAGCCAAACAACACTCCACCCAATAAATCTCCTCCTCCACCTTCAAGTGTTTGAGGGTACCTTTTAACGGGGCTTCTAATACACTCAAAGAAGAATCTCCTTTAATCTGATAGACTTCTCCTCCTACCTTGACTTTCAAGGTTAATTTATCAAAATTAGCCTTAATTTCCCCCAGTCCTCTTAACCATTCCATTCCCAATATCATGTCAACTTCATCCAAGGCGAACAAATAAAAATTGTGTCAAATGAACCCTCTGCACCACCAGCTCCAAATCTGCACACATCCCCTGCGCCTTCACACTATGACCATCTCCTACTTTTACCCAATATTGTTCTGTTCTTTCCACTAGCAGCCCCAATTTCTTCACAACCGATTCAGCAATGAAATTTTGGGAAGCTCCACAATCAATCAAAATCAAAATTGGGTTATCTCGTAACTCTCCCCAAAATTTGAAAGAATACTTGGAAGTCATACCCACCATACTCCGAAAATCTAAAGTAGTGGTGAAAGGCTTACCACTCCATTGAATTTCCTCTTCTTCCTCTGACTCTTCCACTCCTTCCTAAAGCAACATTATTCTGATTTGCTTGTTCTTGCACACATGCCCAGGTGAGAATTTCTGTTCTCATCTGAAACAAATTCCTTTTCTCCTCCTTTCTTGGTATTCTGCATCAGTCATATTTCTTCAATTCTGCTTTCCTTCTATCTTCCTACTATTATCCATTTTTGTCTCAGCTTTTTCATCATTTCCTTTTTTTTCTTCATCCCTCCTGCTACCATAAATGCTCCTGGTCCACCCCCATATATATATACACAAAAAAAAAAGATCAGAACAAGTACAATGTCAGCAAAAGAAAGGCTACAGCCTAAAGTCCTTAACCCTTAAGATAGATGGGGCCAAAAAACAGCTTTTATAAAGCTGCACAACATATATTAAACAATTATTTTAACAGATTTTTTTTCCTTTACTCTTTTTTGCTTTGCAACTAAATTGCATTTTTCAAAAACCTAATTGGTTTATGATCTCTTGCAGGCGGCATTTAGAGCTTTAGCTGGAAAGGGCTACCAGACACTGCAGAGTCTGCTGTTGGATTTTTGCCAGTGGCATTCAAGTGAAAACCTTTTAGATGCTTTGCTCGATATGCTTGTTGATGGAAAATTCGATGTCAAAATGAGTCCTATGATAAAGGTAATGTGCTAGTACATAGGCCTACCTTCCACAAATTGTTTGACCCCCTTGCTCTACTACCTTATTTAGTACTGTCAAATCTTGTGATTGTGTTTTCTTATTTTTTGCTTTTCTTCTCTGATTTCAGAATGAAGATGTAATAATCTTATACCTGATTGTACTGCAAAAGGTTTGCAATTCATTTCCCCTAGCTTTTTTTTTCTGATCAATTATTTTTTTAATGTTTATTGAGTAGTTTCTAGTTTGTTTTAAGAAAATAATGCCATCTGTTTTATTGCTTTGTTATCTTGTGCCTGGGCAGAGCAGTGAGTCGTTGCAGCATCATGGGCTAGAGATATTTCAGCAACTGCTGAGAGATTCCATTTCTAATAGAGCTTCTTGTGTCAGAGCTGGAATGCTTGATTTTCTTCTTAATTGGTTTTCTCAAGAAGATAATGACAGTGTGATCTTTCAGATTGCACAGTTAATTCAAGTCATTGGTGGGCATAGCATTTCAGGGAAAGACATCCGCAAAATATTTGCTTTACTCCGAAGTGAGAAAGTTGGGACGAGGAGGCAGTACTGCTCTATTATGTTAACAACTCTCTTGTCAATGCTACACGAGAAGGGGCCTACTGCCTTTTTTGATCTTGATGGAATTGATTCTGTAAGTTCTGAACCCATTATAGATATATCTCTAGAATTCCTGATTCTTCTTTGGCATCAACAGTAATTTTTCTTCCATCCTAGATATAATGCTAATACTGGGTATATAGTTATTATTCTATGGTGTGACTAGCTGACATCAATGAAAGAAGAGTCATATTTGAATAGTATACATCTTTTTATTAATACCGTTATTAGAAGTGAGAAGAAAAATGAGGATATAATAACCTCCAACAATTTAAAAATAAGACTGCTAATGAAGGATATATATAAGGATCATTAGCTTAGAAGAGCTATACTACCCTTTGCAAACTGAATAAGGGAATCTCCCCTCCCCGCAACTAAAAGATGAACCTTCACTCATAATGAAGCCCCAAAAACGAGTCCATCCACAGAGACTGTAAAGGGTGGTGGCAACTCCAATTGCAAAATATGTTCATGCCTCAACAAAATCTAATTGTGTTAAAAAGATGCCTTGTTTTCTGTAAAAAAAAAACGGCTTTTTGTTACCTATTGCTTCCTATTATATTAGTACCTATGAGTTGAAAGTAGGTTGTCCTAGGGTTGTACATTGTTTTTGTCTTGGTAAAAACCAAATCAGATTATTGGCATCCACATTATATATATGATCTATTTAGTGCTTCAGTCACTCAAGCATTTTTATTCTAAATACTCGTATTCAACTTCGTATCAAAGTGGGTTTGATCCCATTCTGTCGCTTCCAGTCAAGTCTTTGTTTTGTGCCATTGTTGGCTAGTGTTAATGAAATCATTAGTGAACCCTTGGAGATATATCTAATGAAAGATCGACTTGAACTTTTGTCAATTTTATTCTCCTTTAGTGGGATCAAAAATCAATTTGGAAAAATAATTAAAATCCTTCAAATTGACAATGCTAGAAAGTTTTTTCATTTAATCTCCTCTTTTTTATCCACTTAAGGCATTTTGCAAAAGTCTTTTTGTCCCCATACATTTGAACAAAATGGAATAATAGAAAGAAAAATGAGGCAATTGATTGAAATTTGATAGGGGGCCCATAGTTAAAAGGGTCTATGTTAGGAGGAAAAAGGGGGATAGTTAGTTATTATGATAACTAACTGATAGCTGTTCTGTGGAGGCAGTTAAATTGTATAAATATGAGAGAATCATAGAAGTAGGTAGGAAAATAGTGGAATAATTCTGGAGAGATAGGCACTCTCGAATTCTCCTTGTATCACTGTATTCTTTCGGGTTTGTGTGGCCCAGCAAGGATTCAAGAACAATTTTACAACAATCATTCGTTTCTTTCAAATCTTTCTTAATACCTAGTTGAGATCTATCAACTAGCATTAGAGCTGGTTGCGAACCTGAGGCGATCAAGAATGGAAAAGAAAATGGAGATTCGGATGGAACAGGTGAAAAGGGGCTTGCAAGATATTCAGAAACGCGCTGCGGAAGAAACAGAGTGGTGTCGCAACATAGAAGGAGCGATGCGCGAGATGCTGGAACAGTTAAAAGAGTTGCGCTCGACAATGGGGATAGTGGGAAAAAATGCGCGGGAGGGAGACAAAATGTCCTCGGGATCAAGAACTGAAAAGAACAGCTGGAAGTGGCGAAACCTGGAACTTCCTCTGTTTCAGGGTGATGAAGTGCTGGGTTGGGTAGGGAAAATTGAGAGGTATTTCAGATTGAAGGGGGTATTGGAGGAGGAGAAGTTAGAGGTTGCGATGGTGGTGTTGCAAGGGAAAGCGTTGGCATGGTTTCAATGGTGGGAAGGAAGAAATCAAAACCCTTCTTGGTTGGCTTTCAAGAATGCCCTGTTATGAAGATTCCAGCCAGCGGTGGCACAAAACCCTTTTGAGGTGTTGTTGGGTCTAAAGCAAGAAGGAAGCGTTGCTGAATATAGGGAAAAATTTGAGACAAATTCAGGACCTCTCAAGATTGGAGATACAAATTATTTGAAGGGCATTTTCTTGAATGGCCTTAAAGAGGAGGTTAAAGCTGAGTTGAGGCTGCATCAGCTTAGTTCTTTGGAAGAAATTATGGATTTAGCTCTCTTGATAGAATCTAGAAATTCTATTTTGAAGGAGGTGGGTGGACCATCAAATGTCTCAAACAGAGGGGGGTGGACCAGGAGCATTTATGGTAGCAGGAGGGATGAAGAAAAAAAAGGAAATGATGAAAAAGCTGAGACAAAAATGGATAATAGTAGGAAGATAGAAGGAAAGCAGAATTGAAGAAATATGACTGATGCAGAATACCAAGAAAGGAGGAGAAAAGGAATTTGTTTCAGATGAGAACAGAAATTCTCACCTGGGCATGTGTGCAAGAACAAGCAAATCAGAATAATGTTGCTTTAGGAAGGAGTGGAAGAGTCAGAGGAAGAAGAGGAAATTCAATGGAGTGGTAAGCCTTTCACCACTACTTTAGATTTTCGGAGTATGGTGGGTATGACTTCCAAGTATTCTTTCAAATTTTGGGGAGAGTTACGAGATAACCCAATTTTGATTTTGATTGATTGTGGAGCTTCCCAAAATTTCATTGCTGAATCGGTTGTGAAGAAATTGGGGCTGCTAGTGGAAAGAACAGAACAATATTGGGTAAAAGTAGGAGATGGTCATAGTGTGAAGGCGCAGGGGATGTGTGCAGATTTGGAGCTGGTGGTGCAGAGGGTTCATTTGACACAATTTTTATTTGTTCGCCTTGGATGAAGTTGACATGATATTGGGAATGGAATGGTTAAGAGGACTGGGGGAAATTAAGGCTAATTTTGATAAATTAACCTTGAAAGTCAAGGTAGGAGGAGAAGTCTATCAGATTAAAGGAGATTCTTCTTTGAGTGTATTAGAAGCCCCGTTAAAAGGTACCCTCAAACACTTGAAGGTGGAGGAGGAGATTTATTGGGTGGAGTGTTGTTTGGCTGCAATGGAACCAGAGGAGAGGATGAGAACAATTCCAGATTGCATAAGACAAATTCTGGAAGAGTTTGAGTTTGTTTTTCAAGAACCCCAAGGGCTACCTCCTTCAAGAAGGCAAGACCATGCTATCAACTTAAAGGAGGGGGCAGAGATTCCGAATCTGAGGCCTTACAGGTATACTTATTATCAAAAGAATGAGATTGAGAAATTGGTGCAAGACATGTTGAGAGCTGGAATAATTAGGCCGCTAAAACAAATCAAGACCTCGGCCGAGGACACACTCGGTCAAGCGGGTAAAACAACTCAAGACCTCGGCCAAGGACACACTCGGTCGAGCGTGAAAAACAATTCAAGTCCTCGGTCGAGGACACACTCGGTCAAGCGCGTAAAACAAATCAAGTCCTCGGCCGAGGACACACTCGGTCGAGCATGAAAAACAAATCAAAACCTCGACCGAGGACACACTTGGTCGAGCGTGAAAAATAATTCAAGACCTCGGCCGAGGACACACTCGGTCGAGCGCGTAAAACAAATCAAGACCTCGGCCGAGGATACACTCGTTCGAGCGTGAAAAACAAATCAAGACCTCAGCCGAGGACACACTCGGTCGAGCGCGTAAAACAAATCAAGACCTCGACCGAGGACACACTCAGTCGAGCGTGAAAAACAATTCAAGTCCTCGGCCGAGAACACACTCGGTCGAGCGTGAAAAACGAATCAAGACCTCGGTCGAGCGTGAAAAACGAATCTAGACCTCGGCCGAGGACACACTCGTTCGAGTACGTAAAACAAATCAAGACCTCGGCCGAAGACACACTCGATCGAGCATAAAAAACGAATCAAGACCCCGGCCGAGAACACTCGGTCTAGTACATAAAACAAATCAAGACCTCGACCAAAGACACATTCGATCAAGCGTGAAAAAGAACTCAAAACTTCAGCTGAGAACACACTCTTCGAAAATGAAAAATGAATCAAGACCTCCTCGACGAGAGCGTAAAACAACTCAATCCTTCTACCGAGTATAACTTCTAACACACATGATACCTCGACCGAGAGGCATTCGGTCGAAAGTAACTTCAAACTAATCAATACATATTAACCGAAGACATAATCCATTGAACACGACTTTAACAATTTTAGACCCTTCGGCCTAAGGCTTTTAATCAAAACTTTGAGGTTATAATGTCATGACACCCTGGTCAAAGACCTTTGGACAAAACCTTTTGAAGTTATTTATAGTATTAAAGTCCACGGTCGAGAAACCTTAGTAAAAGCTAGGCTTGACATTAAAAGTCCTCGATTTTATTGAAAACAATGTGATTGAAAAGTTAGGTGTTGAAGCCCCTTCGGCCAAAAATTGTCAAGGCCAAAAGCTTATAACCCCTCGGTTAAAAACTTACCAAGTTCCCATGTAATAATTATGATTCCTCGGCCAGGGAAACTTCTAAAAACTGTTTTATACATTATTAGTCCTTGGACAGAAAGTTTGAAAGCTAAAAGTTTCATATACAATAATCCTCGACAAGTGAAAGTTGAAAATTGTTTTATGCATTCAGTCAAAGGAATTAAAAACTAAGTTTTAACATATTAAAAGGCCCTCTGCCAATTAAGAAAACCGTTTTGGTCCTCGGCTAAATGTTTAAAAGCTAAAAGTCTCGCGTATAAAGCATTCTCGGCCAGAAAAGTTTTGAAAGCCAAAATTATATATATGTTGGCCCTCGGCCAAATAATTGAAACATAAAGCTATACATACAAAAGGTTCCTTGGTTAAAAAGTTTTCAAAGCCAAAGTTTTTTATATATATATAGTAGTCCTCAGCCAAATATGATTGAAAACTTAAATTTTACATATAAAAAGATTCTCGGCCAAGTGATAGTTGAGAATTGTTTTACGTCCTCGGTCAAAGGAATCAAAAGTTAAATTTTACATATCAAATGGCTTACAGGAATAATTAGGAATTCTTGACCAAAAATTTGTCGATCAAATATTTTGATAATAAACTCAAAACAAGAACACGTTTAATCGTTATTAACCAATGAGTATTCTTGGCAATATGGTAAACATTCCATTAATTATTCCCAATAATATATAGTCAAAACCACGAGATCAAAACGAGATAAAATGAGTAAGAAGAACATAAGAAACGTCAAAACTTGATGTTCATTCATAACACACTGACGGATTACATAAAAGTCAAAGGTCATAGAAATGCAAAAAATAAACAAACATCAAGAAGTAAGAATTTAAGCATCAGGATCAACATCGGCTGGAGCAACATTGTCCTCGGCAACTAGGGAGGAGGGAGGAGGAGTATTGGCATCTTCAGTAGTAGCCTCATCAGGAATATCGTTCAAATCCATGAAGTTTCCCTTGTAAAAATCTTTTCCAAGGTCAAATTGAAAGTTCGAGGGAACATCAAGGAAACGAATGGCCTGCCGAACGGCATGATTAAAGCCCTCTTCATGTTCATTGTAAATCCTCTCCTCGACAACATTTTTGTAGGACGCATAATCGGAAATAGCTTTGTCTCTTTGAGCAGTCACCTCTTCAAGTTGTCCCTCGAACTCCCCCACCACTTTGGCCTTCGAAGCTTCGGCCTCACCTAACTTCTCTTAAAAATTGCTTACCAAGCCATGCAGTTTCGTGCGCTCGGCCTTAAGCTTGTCAAGTTCGGCAGAAAGCTCTTCATTTTTGCTGAGAGCCGAAGTAAGGGAAACTTCCGAATTCTTCAAACTGGTACAAAGCTTATCCATCTCAGTGATCGGTTCCATGAAGAGAGTTTGAGCTATTGCCATAGAACGACCCATCAACTCATACAAGAGAGATCACTTTGTCAACGAGTTCTCTTGAGATAAAAAGTTACGACCTTCCGGGGAAATAAACCCTTGGCCTAAGACTTCACGTGTGTTGATTGTCGGATTTAGAAAATGACTCGAAGTCAATGTAGGGGGCAAAGTACATGGACCGATGAAGTAAGGGGTCAAATGCTTTTGTTTCTTAGCTCTCATTCCAGCCTCGGCCTCGGTTTCCATGCGTTCGGTGGTTCTATGCTTAGGGCCCTTGTCCTTGTCTTTTGAAGGATTCTTCTTCTCAACCCGATGAGGGACTACATCCACCAAAGGCTCAGCAGGGTGAACTCCAAGTGAAGGAGTAGTAGTAGCAGCAGCGGCCTCGACCTTAGCATGTTCCTTTCGGACTTGGCAGAAGGAAGTGATGTTAGCACCAAAAGAAGCCATAATACCTATGAAAAAGATAAGTTAAAATCAAATTCACGATCACGAAACATGAGCAAGAGAATAATATATACCTTCAAGGTCTCGAATGGGATTGGGAGACTTAAGCAAATCTATAAGTCGTCGACATGGGAGGTCACGTGGAAGACTTTCCAAAAATGAGAAGTCAGAAAGTTCCCCGGGTGTAAGGAAGGAATGAGGAAGAATATCATATCGGAGTGGAGTCCGAGTCCAATAAAAAGGAAACAAAGGAGTATTATGATTATCAAAAAAGTAAGATTGACCACTCAGATGTATACACACCTTAAAAAAACCCACTTTGAACTTTTTATAAGAAGAGGTGAAAGGTTTCAAGAGTCTCCGAGAAGGGACTCGAGCTAAAGAGACCCACTTAATCTGTTCGGCCGGACGACAATAATAATGAAAAAGAAACAAACTAAATGTCGCTTTCACATGGGTAAACTTGCACAAACTCCAAAAGGCTTGCATGGATGCCCAACTATTTGGATGCAATTGAGTAGGTGCTACATTTAGGATTCGGAGAATACTGGTGAAGAAAGGATGGAAAGGAAGAACAATGCCGAGGTCACGAAAAAGACAATCATACATGTAAAAGAATTGCTTCGGTTTGCTATACGGTTGACAGGCAAATATATAATATGGAGTATAAGAGGCATCAGTTTTACAAGTCCTAGCATAATAGGGTACGGTTCGTCCCTAGAAGGGAAGGAGGATATTTCTACAATGCTTATGAAGTTCTCTAAAAGTCTAGGGTCACAAAACCTAGAATTGTGTGTAGCTACCTCAGGATGAACCCATTCAAACCTCAGTACCACTTTAGACTTACTATCATAAAGAGGATCTATATCTCCATCCTCCTTCTCGGTAAAGAGGATACCTTCAACATGATTTAAGCTTTCAAAGGAAGATGAAAAGTCCATACACGAGTGGTGAAGAGAATCATTATTCTCAAATGAAGACAAATTAAAGAAAGGAGAAGAAAAACTGGAAGTAGAAAAAGAACCCGTTACCTAGAAAAGCAAAGAAGACTTTGGGTAAGACAAAGCATAAGAAACCAAGAGCAACTAGGAGGAGAGTCTTCGGCCTCGGATAGTAAAATTTTCAACAGCGGAGTAAATGACATGGTGAGAATAAACAAGCATTTATAGCCGCAGGGTGAAAAACCTTTCCGTAAATAATAATAATAAACAAATAAAAAATGCCTCAGTTAAGAGGCTTCGTTTTTTAGAAAATCAACACTCTCAAAGCCGTAGAGACATTTCATCCTTAGCACAAACGTTACTAACACGCAACAATTAATTCAAAGAGACTTCTCGGTTGTTTTCGTACATGCTCTTTTGTATAAATGAAAGGAAAGCATCACGTTTTTGTTGGTTACGTGTGGGATGAAAAACCATTGGAAATGATTATGGAAACATGTACCAGTACTGTCAACCACCTTTTCGGATAAAGCAAAGGGAATAAGACAAAATTGGGGCACGTAACAAATATTAACGAACCTTATTCATATTTTAAGCTTTCTTCGATTATTAATAATAATAAATAATTTTAATAATCTTGAAAGCCTAGGGCATGTATATAAGATATAGATAAGACTAAAGTACCGTAAAGAGAAAATAGGAGAATCCTCAACATAGATATTTTAAGGAGTGCGCAGTTTACAAGAGTCTAAATCACTCTACACATACCAAGATTATTGGATCCTAATGGGCTTGGTTGTGGGCCTAAATCCATTAAGATTAGTATAAATCAGTGTAATCAGCGACTGATAAAGGTACGTTTTCATAACTACCAATTTGATTAGCATTGATATCTCTGAGACCGAGAACTGACTTAAGCATTAGAGTGTCTTTTGCAGGTATCCTCCTCTTTCCCTCCTCGTTCCCTATGATACATCATGGAAGACGAAGACCCAGCAAAAATATCAAAATTACTATAGTACCTTCGTGCAGGTACACATGTTGTTTTCTTTTATATTGTTGTTCTATACTATTTCAACGTTCAATTTCTTACAATTCGTACTTTGATACGATAAAAATGTTTGGAACATTATTTTCACTATTGAAAGATAAATATTCTTAAATAAAAATGGAGCACCTCTGTCATTTTAGTATTTAAAGACCATTGGTATCCTAATGGGCCCAATACCTTTTAACCAAAATCCAATTGCAGTCTATTTAAAGTTAAACCTGGATTATGTGCTGTTCAAAAGCATTTGCAGGATCCATCTGTTAAAATCAAGAGGCCCAACATTTTTAAGTAATTTTTCATGCAGTTAAAATAATATAGAAAAAATATTTGACAGGCGAGGATTTGTTACAGTTGAATAAGGACTCGTTTACCTGTGTTATCATTTTCTATTCCCACCCCATGTTTTCAAGTTTCTTAGCATATTTTGATTTGTCAAGAAGTTCAGGGATGAAAGTTGATTGTTTTAAGGCCTAGTCACAAATATCAGCCCAACCGTTTTTTTGTGTGAAATCAGCCCAACATTATATTACTACTCAAATGGGACTGGCTATAAACAATAACTAATACATTCATCCCAAAGCCGGTATAGGAAGAAAGGTTAAAGGAGAGAAAGTGAAAAGGAAGAAAAATATTTAAAAAGTGACATAATTTTCTAGATTGTTTTGTAAAAGGGAGAGATAGAAGAAAAAAAAATTCTTCTTATTTGATTATGTAGAAAGTGAAAAAAAAAACATGAAAATAACATAATTATCACAAATAAAAAAGATATTATAAATATTTTTATTAAAATAATATATTTTGAAGTTTTTTTTTATGTCGTGTAAGTCCACACCTCGATGATTTGAAAATATATTGTCAAATTAAAACATCAGGATAAGAATTGGCATATATTTAAAAGTCTTTATTATTGTTGCATCAAAACACTTCTATATTATTATTACTAGTGGAATTGAGGTACTTCGTGCTTTTATTAAAATAAATAAATAATAAAAGTATATTGATCTAATTAGTATTATGATTGATCTATTAGTTTCAAGTTTTTAAATTTGATTAAAAAATATTTTTTAAAATTTTTTAAAATAAAAGGGTATAATAGTTAAAAAAAGTAGAGACCAAGGTAGTTACCGAAAAGGATATCCCCTTTTATATATTAGTATAGATAAAAATGTGATTTGATTTTCGTATACTACTATGAACATAATTTTCATATTAGTTCAGTTCAAATGTTCAACAGTTGACAATTTTAGATATAAAAGAATAATTTTCCATCATTTGTGAATGAAATTAAGCATAGGGATAATTTTGTTTCAATTTAAAAATAAATTTAATTACCCTTTTAATCCTTAAAAACTCGTGAATTTCACTTTTTAGATTCTATAATTAAAAAAATTTAATTTTATGCATATCTTTTTTTTCTTTCAATCTCTATAATTTTATAAATTTTATCTTTTACTTTTTATAACACTATACCATAATAACTAAATGAAATAAAAAATAATATATACAAAATTAAAATAAAACATTTTAATTATAAAAATTAAAATGTAATATTCATAATCAAAAAGATAATTAAACCTAACAAGAACACAAGTTTCACTCCTTTTTGTCCGTTAATCGAAGGGTCATCTTTAATTGAGACCCCCAAAAACTTATTCCTTCTCCTTGTATAGAAGAACCAAATAGTAAAATATTATTAAAAATAAAATAAAATAAAATCTCCCCTCTTTCTTCTTTTCCTTTTCATCTAAACCAAGTACAACAACAACAAAAAGGCTTTTTTTTTGTTAACATTAAAAAATGTTATCAAACTACCTACTCTTGTTGACTATGTAGCTTTTTCTTTGATTAACAAATATTTGGTCACAAGGACTTCAAAGTCAATCCCTTTATTTTTTTAATGTACAGTGATTTCAACCTATTATTATTATTATTATTATTATTATTACATTGTATTATTTAATGTGATAGGTTAACAGTATATTTAATTTTAAAATATTAATAACTATTAGTATATACATAGCAACCCACATGATCCACTAGTGCTCCTTTAATGGTACGTTATAAGAATATTGCCACAGAAGGATGGCCTCACAGCATTGGGGTCGGATAGAATCTGAGAAAATTCTTTGCCTAAATGATAAATAATGGACAGAAATCGATATGAGATTGTTAAATTTTGTGCCCACTTTTAACTCAATTAAGTTAATATAAATTCGGTCTAATCAAGTTCGCGAATCTAACTCAGTTTTTCTTAAATGTTTGAATGGAATCGAAATCGTCAAATTGGACATAATTATAATCATCCTTTTCTGCCACATAGTTTAACAATTAACCTTACCCTACCACCTTATATCCTGAAATAAAAAAATGAAAATAAATAATGTGTGGTATGTGCATAATTTTTTGGTCATTACTTTGAAAATAATAGACTAATTTAAAATTAAGTGACTATTGCATGATTCAAACATTTGTCCTCAGGCACCTAAATTCATACAAAATAGAAAATCAAACGTATTGAAAATACAACTTTAGAATATTTTTAAAAAGTATTGGGTTGGATCATATTTTAATCAAATATAATCCTATATATTTTTATTTATAATTTTTATGCTATTAGTCATGTTTATGTTTTTATTATATAATAGAAAATTATCACAAAATTTATACTTGTGAAAATATAATTAACTAAAAATAACTTTTATGTAAAAAAAAACTAAGTATATATATATATATATATTCATAAAAAAATTATACGTTAATTTAAATCTATGAATTTTCACACTTTTCAAATTATGTAGAATTAGCATATTTCATAAAAGTTTTTAATTTAATAATTAAATTATTAAAATTTAATATATAGTGAGTTAATTATTAAGTAAAGTTATTTTTAAAATAAGTTAATCCATGCTCCTTCTCTCTCCTTCCTTCCTTCTCTCTCCTTCCTTCCTTCTCTCTCATACATATATATAAGGAGATATCCGTTTATTTTAAACCTACTCCCATTTTGAGTCAAGAGATAGATAAATAAACACATCTCATTGTACTAATCGAGGGCGTTTGTAGTGATTGAGGAGGTCGAAGACCAAGAAGTTAGTTATTTATCAGCCAAGCATTCTATAATAAGTCTATGAATTTATTTCGTTTAATAATTCATGTTTTACATAAAATTTTAACGATCTAATAATTAAAATTAAAATTATTAATACATAAATTAAATATGTAAATTTATAAATAAAAAAATTAAAAATTATTTAATATTTTATTTTATTAATTCAAATTAAGGTGTAAAATGATTTTATAATTATTTATTAATTTGGGTGAAGTAAGTTTAAATTAACTTATTCTTAAAATAAACGAATCTTTATTCTATATATATTTAGAAGTTGAAGTGAATAGCATTAATTAAATAAAAAATACAAATGAACATTAGATACATGAAGTATAATGTGTGTGGTTGTGATCTCTTATAAGTATCAAATAGGCCTATGATTAGAAGAATTGACTCAGTGATTGGTAGCGTGCAACTTATCTTATAGATCTTTCATGTACCAACATTTGGTTGTGGACATGAATCATGAAAATCCCACCGTGTACACTTTTGCTTGTCTTTGTCATGACTCATGAACATGGGGAGTAAAATTGTACATTATCTTCTTAAAAGGAGAACCTGTATATATTCATTATTAATGAACAACTGTTCCCTTGACATTATGGCTGAAGAGTCCAACCATGAACGAAAGGGATCAACGGCGTCATTCCGTGGAACACTTTCGGTAAAAAGTAACTATATATTGAAAAAGGTTATGGTTTAAAAGAAAATACCTTCATCAAGAAACATTATAAAAATAAAAATTCAAAGTAATCAAAATCATGATAACTTAGCTTCAAACCTAGACATTAATAGGATGTTTGGAAGATAAGAAAAATAATTAAAAAGAAGAAAGATATTATTTTTCTTATAACTCCATTAATTAACTCGAGTGTTAGGCTAAGTCTATTCATCCAAAGCCTAACATCCTAAAAATGTAGACAACCTCAAGTTAGAGGTACCAACCTGCGGAGAGTAGGGTGTGAAACAGAACAAATAAATGAAATAATTCCACTGTCTTTGTCTTCCACACGCAATGCTAAAATTTGTACATATTCATATCGCCATCCACCCACCACTTGTCCGTCAAAAGATGCCTTTCGTCCATTCTGTTTGCCATATTATGCCTAAGAGCTTATCTAACAACAATATGCTCTTTTTTCGTTTCTATGTAAATATACGGGAAAAGATACGAAACATAAAATAAAACACTTTTTCATATGTTATATAAATTAAAAATAATTGTTTTTTTTTTAAATTTTGTCTCATACATTTCTAACTCATAGGATAAAGACTTGCTCGCGATATGTATTATGGGTTCCAAGAATTTTTGCATGTATCAATGATTACTACCGTAACATATGAGCTTATTGTGCTTAATTATGTCAAGTTATCAAAAAAAAAATTATATTGTAGGAGATTTTAACCCTTCCCACCAACGAACGGCATTATATATTCCCTAGGCTATGTAACTATGTTTTATATGACATGTCAATGCCTCTTAATGAGAAGGTTAGAACCACCGGACATGGTCAAGTAATCAAAGTCTTGACAAACAATATAGGAACAAATGAACATTTATGATTTCTTTGACTTTGGATGGGGACTAAAAGAGAATGGAGAAAAAATAGAAAGGAATGATAAAAATAAAGGAGAAATAAATGAAAAGTTTCGTTGTTTCAATGAATCAAAAGAAATAAATAAATTATGTAAAAATATTTTTATAATAGTTAAAAAACTTTTTTTTTTCAATATAATATTTTTCTTAACATGAAATTGTTTATTATCTTTTTTTAAAAAAATGTATTATAAAAAAATAAACAAAAAATAAAAATCATTTCGTTTTTATTTCATTCTAATTTTTTTGGGGGAAGGAGCGGTGAGATGTTTTCTCTCCTACCATAATTACTTTTTTTTTCTCTCCCTGGAAATTTAATATTTTTATCCTATCTCCCTTCTCTCTATTTTCTTTCACTTTATTTCTCCTAAAATAAATATGGGGTTAGGCATGTGATAAATAAATTGATTTCATTAATTTATAACATTTTTTCACAGATTATTCAAATTACTAACGTTTAACATATTAATATAAGTAATCCTCGTTGATTTTAGGCATGTGTTATTGTCTTGTCTTGTGGGGGGTGTTGTGGTTGGTATATTGTACTCACGTTTGATTAATGATTAATCGCTTGAAATTGTTGAAAATCTGATATACGCATTTCATTACTCATATCGTTATATCACATAAATTGTGTATCTTATATGTTATGATGTTTATGGTATTATCGTGTAGAAATAATGTCTTGTACTTTTTATTTTATTTTACCCTGCGTTGATTGTCCTTTGTGTGTGGTTGTAGTGATAGTGTCATGTTTGTTTAAGGAATGATAAAAAAAATAAATAAATAAAAAAAAAAAATCTTAGTCACGGTTATCTTAAAGCAAGCCATATGTAATAAATATGTCTAACTAATTTATTGGATTAAAACTATTTCTTTCGCCGTTCTATTTTTTTTATTAAATTTAAGATAATGTAAAATTCAAGGAGTTGTAGTATTAATTAGACTAACAAGACATTTTAATGTATACAAGTTAATTTAATGTATTTTAATTCAAATAATTTATTTTTGGATATTATCAATTCAAAACATCTTAATAAACTTGACGTCTAAATTTAAATAATTTTTTTATATCTCACTTAATAATTTAAAATATCTAATATATTCAAGTAATATTTTTAAATCTTATATTATAATATTATTTTAATATTCTAGAAACAGATTATTATAATGTGTGGATTTTTTTGTTGTTTATTTTACTTTACAATATTTTATTTATTAAATTATTTGAAATATATATTAATATATATATATATATAATTTTATTTTACAAATGCTAATCAACACTTTAACTAATATTTTTAATATATTTATGAATTTTTAAATATTTATTATAATATTATATTGTATTGTTAAGTGATAATTATATTCAATAATAGATAGATTGTAAATTTTCTAGCAGTTTTGTTTTGTACATTGATTTGAAAATTGTTACAATTTAAAACTATACCGATCTTAATAATAGTACAAAATAATATAATTTCATTATAAAAAAATATTTATTTCCTTTTTGGCACCAAAAATAGTTATTTCTTAATTACATTAAAATAATATTATAATTAATATTTAATTGATTGAAAATTATAATTTATATAATTATTTTCAATCAATTAAATATAAATATAAATATAAATCAATTATATAAATTATTTTTTTCAATCAATTAAATATACATTAATATTATTAATTATTTATAAAGAATAAAAAATTAACATTACACAATTCTATAATTTCAAGAAAAATAAAAATTAACTACAATTATAATATGTTAATAAAATAAAAAATCTAGTAGTAGATTAATACTATAAGTTAAAAAATTACTAAAATGATAATATATTAATAATCTAAAATAGTAGAAAACATTTATTAAAAAATAAATATAATAAAAATTCTATAAATTAGTAATGGGTCTGTTTGTTTGAATTTTTTCAATAGAAGTGCTTTTTTTTATTAAAATAAACTCTTCTTTATTTATTATGTATTTTTTAAAACTTATTTTTTTAAAATAAACAAATTTCTGCTTTCTAGGAAACAATTCTTATCTGCATTTTAAAGAAATGTTTATTTTAAAAGTACTTGTTTAAAAATAGTTATTTTAAAATTTAAACAAATGGACCTAATATCTATTGTAGGAGTACCAGGTCTAGACATTAATATATTTATTCTATATTATTTAATTAAAATATAAGATATTAAATTAATTTTAGAAATTTATATTTTGATTAATATTTTTAAAATTAAAAGAAATAGTTGTGAAGAAATAATTAGTTGTGAAAAAATTATGTAATTTTTGTACGAATTTAAAAAGAGAAATACGTTTTAACAAAAATAAAAGGCAAAGAGAACATGAGTTGTTTACTTGGAGAGTATTAAAAATATTTTACGGAACTATAACTTTTTAAATAAGTTTTTAGGTCCCTTAAATTTGAAATAAATATGTTTTTAGTTTCTTAAATTTAAAATTATTATTTCTAATTCTATAATTTTTAATAATTTATATAAAATAAGATAATTATACATTATTAATAGGGATGGTAGTAGGTAAAATTTTTAAGATAATATTTGATAAATTCTTTAATAAAATTTAAGGACTAAAATAAAACTTTTTAAAATTATATAGATTAGAAAGATCAATTTTAAATTTAAAAAACTAAAAATATATTTAAACTTTAAAAATAAAATATAGTTGACTAACTTAAAGACACTCAACTTAAATTATCAAATATTTATAAGAGTATAATTTTTTTTAAAAAAATCTGTGACTTCTATTAATACATTTTAACTATAAAATTTATTTAAAAATATCATATGGATGTAAATTATAACCTTTTATTGACAATGAAAATTTAAATTAGTACTCCCTCCCAAATTTTATATAAGCAAAACATATTTAAAATTCTTTATCTTAAATATAAACAATTTTAAACCAAATCATTTTTATTTAATACTTTTAATTTTAAAATATTCATAAAACAATAAATGAAAATGTTGTATATAATAAATATAATTAAATATTTTAATAAATATAATATATATTTTATATAAAATCGTAAAAATAAAATACATTCAACAACCCTTTTTAAATATGTAAATTAATTCTTTTTCTCTTATGCATACACGCGAGAGTAGTATACTTTTATGTTTTATGTATAACATAAATTTGTACATCAGTTACAAAGACCAGTAAAAGAATGCTAACTAGCTAGTAGCTGTACTTGTCATTTTCACAAACACAAACAAAAGAAATATAAAATATTTAAGAAAAAATATTTATTACATAATAAAACGAAAAGAAAACTGTACATTTAAATATATTTTTAGTTTAAATTCGTTTTATCTCTCTAATTTAAAATTATTTTATTAATCATATAATTTTTAAAAATATTATTTTAATCTTTTAGTTCACTAATAACACATTTAAAATGATAAATTAAGATAATTATATAATATCAATTAAATTCAATGTTATATTTTTACTAATAAAGATATTAGTAGATTTTATGTGATTATATTTAATAATAAAAAATTAAATCTAATAAAAAGCCTAAAACATCTTTTTTCAAATCATAAGATTAAAAAAATTAATTTTAAATTTAATAAACAAAAAATAAATTCACGGATAAAAATATATTTAATAGAAAAAAAGTAATATAAATAAAGCTAATCACCTATAAATTATTATTGTAAAATTTTTTTACACTAGTAATCAATCAGATCTATTAATAATATCATATTATTTGCTTATTTAATTAAATTAAAATAAAAAAAATATTATTAACAAATCTTATTAGTTACTATATAAAAAACTTTATACAATATATAGTTGATTGGCTCGTATAAATATTCTGAAAAACATGAGTAAGCATCGTGATGTTATAATAGAAGATAGAAGTTGCATTATTGGAAACAGTAGTAGAGTTGAAGAAGAATCAGAGTTGCAGACATGGCCGAAGGAAGCGAAGCAGACCAAGACAAATCCATGAAGAAACTTCTCCTCATAGTAAACTGCGTTCTCCTCTGCATAGGAACCTCCGGCGGCCCCCTCATCATGCGCCTCTACTTCCTCCGCGGTGGCCACCGCGTCTGGCTCTCCAGCTTCCTCGAAACAGCCGGCTTCCCCGTCATGCTCCTCCCCCTCGCCGTCTCCTACTTCCGCCGCCGCCGCATCGCCGCCGCCGCAGGCGCATCCGCCAAACCAAGCCTCGTCTCCATGAAGCCCCCTCTCCTCCTCTTCTCCGCCGTCATCGGAATCCTCACCGGCCTCGACGACTACCTCTACGCCTACGGCGTCGCGCGCCTCCCGGTCTCCACCTCCGCCCTCATCATCGCCTCCCAGCTCGCCTTCACCGCGCTCTTCGCGTTCCTCCTCGTGAAGCAGAAGTTCACCGCGTATTCCGTCAACGCCGTTGTTTTGCTCACCGCCGGCGCCGGCGTGTTGGCCCTCCACACCAGCGGCGACCGCCCCGCCGGCGAGTCCACGAAGGATTACGTCATGGGGTTCCTCATGACCGTCGTCGCCGCCGCATTGTACGGCTTCGTTTTACCCTTGGTGGAGTGGGTCTACAAAAAAACCCAACAACCTATCACTTACTCTCTCGTTATGGAAATTCAGTTCGTTATGTGCTTCTTCGCCTCCCTCTTCTGCTTCATTGGGATGATTATAAACAAAGACTTTAAGGTACTATACTCCTTCTATAACTACTCACCAAATATTAATATTAATTCTTTACATGTTGTTACTAAAAACAGAAAATAAACAATTTTGCTGACCAAATTTGTAGGTGATTCCGAGGGAAGCTATGGAATCCGAACATGGAGAAGCAAATTATTATATAGTGTTGGTGGGGAATGCTATAGTATGGCAAGCATTTTTCTTAGGAGCCATTGGGGTTATATTTTGTGGGTCGTCTTTGTTGTCGGGTATTTTAATTGCGGTTTTGTTACCGGTAACCGAGGTTTTGGCGGTTATATTCTACAAAGAGAAGTTTCAAGCGGAGAAAGGGGTGTCTCTGTTCCTCTCGATTTGGGGCTTTGTGTCGTATTTCTATGGGGACATTAAACACGCGAGGGAAATGAAGAAGAAGAAGAAAAGTGAGATAGAAACAGTGTTGCCTCAGTATTCGTGACTGCAACGGTGTATGCTTTGAAATTGGTAGGGCATTCTTGAGGATAGGAACCCCTTTCCTTCTTTCGGTCACATTAATTCATCATGCGCGACAACATTGACTACTTTGGGTCAAATCCAACATCATAAGTGATAACTATAGATTCTTGTTTATATATGGTTGTAGTTTCGTCCATGAATAATAAATATGTGTGGTCAATTTTATCAAATAAGAACCCTATCCTGATTCCATATTGCAACCATATTGTTCGGTGCTCATACAACTCTCAGACTTAACATTTTCATTTCAACTTTAGTATTTTTAGTTTTGGAAAAATGTTGGTTATTACACAAAGAAATTTGAGAAAACTTTGTGTAAAAGACGAATACTCCTTGCTATATGAAGCCAAGCCATGATAATATAGAGTTGACATGTCACACCTTTCCACAAAAGTTAAACCTGTACCTCTCCCTTTCCTAAATAGAGGGATATTAAAAATCCCTGTACAATTTTATGATCAGTAAAAATTATTTATTTTTTAATTTTTTTTTAATATATCTTAATAGATCTGAACCATCTATATGCAAAATACGCCGCATGTCATTTGTCTCTTGACTGTAGTATTTAGAAGATGCATATGGAAGTATTAGAAACGTTTTTATATATACTAGGATGTAGATATTGGTGTTTCTATTAAAAATAAAATTAAAATAAAAATTAAATAATAAAAATATATTAATTTAATTAGTATTATAATTAATTAATTAGTTTTAAGTTTTTATAAAAAATATTTTTTAATTTTTTAAAATAAAATAGTATAATAATAAAAAAAAGTAGAGCTTAAGGTAATTATAAAAAAATATATCCTTTTTATATATTAGTATATATATATATATAATAGTATAAATTGTAGTATTATTCCGTAAAACTCATAAAATCCGATCCATCTAATGAAAGTTACTTGAAAAATCAGTTTTTTATGTTCCTTTTCCTCTTATATAATTACCTCTTAAATAAAAGTTAAATGAATGCATGAATATTAAATTTCATTTGCCTACCTTGTTCAGAATATAATAAAATAGAATGGAAATTAATATGAAACATTTTATTTTGTATTCCACCTAATATTCATCTCCTTTTTTTCTTATCTAGTTCAAGGTATAAAAAAAATAATTTTATAATTTATTTGTTATAGACCGATTTAACAAATTTTTAAACCTAAAACAAACTTTAGAGTTAATGTCTTTTTAAACTAATAACAACGTTTTTTGATTAAAAAAATTATAAATTTGGGGCCTTAGAAAAGTAATGACTAATGAATAAAATTTTTGACTTCTTTTACTATTAAAATAATGACTAATTAATTTTTAAGAGCAATAAAAATTAACATATTTCTAGTCCTAAAGTCAACTTTCTTTGAGGTTGAGATTTTTGAAAATTAAATAAAAATATTTTTTTGTATAAAAAATTAATGGCTAATTAATTTTTTTGACTAATAAAATTAATAATTATTAATTTTTTTTAATTGAAAGAGAGAGTGAGAAATGGAAACTTTTAGAGCAATTATAATGGGAGTTGCTTGTCCCATGAAGCAACTTAAGCCCCGGTTTCTTGTCATTGGAGGACTCTGACGTGGCAACATGAGTTGCTTGAAGAAGAGAGAGAGTTGTTTCTTCAAGCAACCGTTCCTTACCAAATTTCAAGAAGATCTTATTAAACATATTTAGGAACGTTTCGAAAATAATAATGATGAAAATTAATTTCATATAATGTCTATGTATTTATTGTTGCCTTATTTTACTTTTAATATATACTTATTATGTATTTTTTCTCGTAATTTATTTTCTTTCATTGTAGTGCAATTATTCTTTTTAATAAAAATTTAAAATTAGTTCATAAATGATTAGAAAAAAAATTCTAAAAGTTGAATTTCTTAAAGTTTCTTACCATTTGAGTAAATTTGTTTTTGAGTTGTTTAATACTGACATGACACATTCAGGGCCACTTTTTTCATTTTTCAATGCATGAAGCAACTCAAATGAGTTGCTTCCAAAATTAAATGTAGTTTTTGAACCAATAAGGTACAAACCTCATTCATAAAATAAAAATTAGTTTTTTTAACTTAAAAAAATAATTACCACTACACTAAACTTACTAATAATAAAATTCACCAAAAAAAATGTACTAATAATATGATAGTGTTTGATAAGAGAAGAGTGGTGAATTCTTTTATAAAAAAAATTGGTTCAATTTTTAAGAAAGAAAGATAATGAAGTAGAGCAAGAACAAAATTCTTTCTCATTTGAGTGTATTATCTTAAAATATCTTTATTTATATTTTTGAATTTAAAATTACAAGATAAAATAATTTTTTAATTTCTTTCTTTTAGCTATAAATCAAATAAGAAAAGAACCATGTTTGCTTTACATTAAAATTCTTCCACCCCTTCTTTTTAACCAAACAAAAATTCTTACCATTCACCTCTCAATTAAAATTTCTCACGTCTTTTTTTAAGCCAAACAACCCCTAAAATTATATAAATAAAAATACTAAATAATAATGTCTTATGTAGAAGTAACAAAACAAATTATTCAACTCATAACAATATGCTTTATGTGTTTTTGCATGTTATAATAAGTTACCTAAAAAGTCTAAATTTAAGCATATTTAAATAAGGTGGATGTAACATAGTTTGAATTTTAATTTATCAGTAATTATATGTTATATGATGATTAATTGTTGAATATTGTAATTCTTGTTGTTTTAGAGCTCTAGAGTCAAGAGACCTTTAAGAGTTATGTTGGTTGAGGTAGTTTTTGTTAGAGTTAAGTTGGTCCAACTTGAAGAAAGGTATATAAGATTTTTCTTACGACACGAATCTCATAAGTTCAGTTCTTAAGAAAGTTAGTGAGATAAATTTTGGAACCGAAAAAAATCCTTATTTCCTTTAATTCTTTAGGAACCTTATAAATCCTTCCCTCAGCTAGGCAATGACAATAGATCTTTGAATTTGAAGCTTGGAGATTGAGAATTCAAGTTGTGAGTCGTGCAAAGAAGTCGTGTTCTTCTTCTTTTTTCCTTATCTCTTCTCATTTTGGAGCGATTTGAGGTAAGAAAAGTTTGTGATTAATGAATTGTTGAGTTGTACTTCTTGTATGCTAATTGAATGCATCATAATTGCTCGAGGAACTCTCTGACTTAGTGACGTTGGGCATAGGTGGAAAGAGTGGAAAGAGTGTCAGGCTTGACCAAAATAGTGACTCTCTTCCTAAACAACATCGAACACAAGTTTAGTAGCATCAGAATTGAGTCAAGTATAGACTCTCTGTCTAAGTGAGGTCGGGTGTAAGATTATCTATGTCAAGTGAATTGACTTAGAGGCTCTCTACCTCATCCATCTTGAATGTAGGATGGCTTGACACTAGGCATGAATGAGCTAGGTGTTCTTTGCCTCAATTGACGTCGGGATGGGAAGAATCACGCTGAGCGTGATTGGTAGGATGAAAAACTTGTCAGAAATTACTTGAGTGTTGAGAACTTTTGAAGTGTAACTCTTTTTTACATGTCATATGATGTTGTATGACTTTAATCATTATGCATTGATCTAGGATAATGTGTAGTGATGTTATAAGTTGCTAAGTTGCAAGTTGATGGTTGATTTTAAGTTGATTAAGTTGTAAAGGTGTGTTGTTTGAAGTTGACAATTGTTTGAAGTCGTTAGGTTGTTAAACATGTGTTGAAATAATACATGTCTCAGTTTAAATACATAAAAATTAAAGGAAGTAAAGTATTTGAGAAATTAAAATATCATGTTTATATGGTGCTTAAAGAGACCAAAGTTGAGCAAATGGACACTTGTTTTTTTAAGTTGTTTCATCTAGGTTTTATATGAAACCGTATGGAACCAAGTTGAGTCACACATGTATAAATTGACTAATTGAGTAAGGTATAAAGTTGAGGGTTAAGATCCTTAATCGATTATTGGAAAGGTGCATATTATTTGAAGGGTAATCAACTGACTAATCTCATAAGAGACTTAATTATGCATTTTAAGATCATGGTTGACTCAAATCCAAGTTGTTTTACCCTGATAGTAGTACTAGTTTTTCTTAGTTTAAGTAACAAAACCTGATAAATCAATTATAGCCACTATGCCAACTGTTAGCTATTGTTTTTGGTTTTATATCAATCATTATGGTTTGTTAGGACCAAAGCCACTTAAACTATTCACCTCAGTTGTAGGAGATCTTTATTAGTTGATACGCATGACGATACATCCATCGTTCATTTGTGTAGCAATTGATATTATTTGTTTAACAATTGCTCAATTGTTGATTCTTATTATCGGTTGTTTAGATATTATTAAGTTGTGGTTGAAGTTGTGAAAGTTGTTTATCATTTATTATGTGATGCTTATATGATGATCAATTATTAATAGATTTTATTCTGTTGTTATTATAAATCATTGGTGTAAGATTTCAGTTGATGTTGTTCTTGAACTAATCCTTGCATTAAACAACTTATGTTAACTTTTTCACAAGTTTAACCCTTTATTTTTCATACTATTGGATTGTAATGATTATATTTAGTATGAGATTAGGACAAGATTAGTAGAATGACTTGATTGATCGGTGGAGGATCATACTAGTTATGAACTGATTTTGGTGATACTACTTTGTGTATAGTAGTATACAATTTGTGTATATTGTATATATGTATAGAATATATATGTAACATTATAAGGTGTTTTTTATTTCAATTTTATAAGTAGGAAATGTTTTATGATTTCTGCATCATATATATATATATATAAAAATATATATATCCAGGTGATTGTTGTATGAGAATTTTAAAATAGTTGAATTTATTTATGTTTTTCATTACATAATAATTATACTATATTAAGTGTAATAACTTATAGATTGCTATAATAAAAATTAAAATTTTATTAGATTTTTGCGTGATAACTGATAAACAACCTAAACTAATTAGTTTATGACCAAATTAGGTTAAAAAAAAACACATTCAATTCAGACCGAAAATTAAGCCTAAATCTCACATTTTATATCAAGCCAATTAATTCGGACCTTCCCGATTCATACATATGACCCAGTTGACCATTTCTGACCTATATTTGGACGGCCTGTTTCATTATATATACTATAATTATAAATATTATAATGATGATTTTGCTCAAAACTTTATACCATCTTGAAACCTCATTCTGTTATGTTTTACGAAATATTGAATTAATATATA